AGAGTTGGCGGTGGGTGGTGATGTCTTACACTGCTAAATTAGGACGGCTAGTGCAGATAGCCCTCGTGTAGCTTTGCGCGAAATTCAAATCAAGCAAGCAAAGCTTTAAATGGTTTAAATAATAAAATATATTCGAATTTATAACGTGCATTTGTACAGCGTGCTTTTGACATATTAAGTAGTAAAGCTTAGTACATATATGTTACAGATTTTTCTTCCAATTTCAGTAAAGCTTATTGTTGAAATAATTAACTGATACCTGTAGTAAACTAAAGTTCTATCAAAGTTACAGGTTGAAATAACAAAAATATAGGATAAAAAATAATTAAAATCATAGGCGCCGTCCTTTGTATCTATTCATCTGTGGTTGTAATTGTTAAATGAAAAGAGCTTCTTTGAATTTTCTGTCAGTGTAGTTGGTGGCTTTCGTGAGAATTTGTACGGAGAATGGTGGTTTCAAGTCAGATGTTACTTGTCCATAATTAGTTAAAAAATGATTTGCAACTGCGCTTCTATCATGTTGTTGTTGTTTATAAAGAGCATCAATATATTTTCCTATCCTTGTGTGTAGAGTTCTTCCGGTTTCTCCTACGTACATATGATGGCAGATGTTACTTGTAAACTGGTAAACAACGTTGGAGACAAGACACTCATTTTTAGATTGCAAACACGTTTTTATAAGACACTTAGCTTTATCACATTGTAGGACAGTGTACTGAGATTTTGAAAGTTGGCTTCTTAGGGATGAACCTGGCCGTTCTATAACTTTAATGAACGGTTCACGTAAAATGTATTGATACAATTTGTTGTTCTGTACCATTCATTATCTCTGTTAATTTTTGGATTTTTCTCGTTAATGAGTATAACTTCCATATATTTTCTCTCTTTAAAATCTTTTTGTTGTTGTTGTAAAATATAAACTTTAAATGGGTTCTGGTTTTCTGTGTTTGGGGATCCGTGTTTGTGTAGGAAATGATCTGCTGGAGCGGTTTTGTGTTGGTCATGTGTCAGCGCATTGATGCGTTCTGAGATGCGTGTGTGGAAAGGTCTTCCAGTTTCTCCTATATATGTGTTCCTACATATATTACAAATGATTTGGTAGACGACGTTTTTTATGTGGTACATTTGTCCTGCTTCGTTTGCTCTGGTGTAACATTGTTTTTTGGTAATTTTTTGTTTTTTGGGAGAATGAAGAGTGAACAAATAATTCTTTCAGCGTTTACCTGTTTTTGTGTTATGTTGGTTGTCATTTGGGATTGTTTTATGGCTTTACGAATCTCGTTTGTGATTATATTGTTTGTGAAAGGAATGTTCATTGTTGGCGTTTTCGTGTAATTCTTTTTTTTTATTTTGGGGTCTGTTGCTGTTTTAATGTTGTTGTTTTTGTGTGTGATTTGAAAACACTATCGATGTAGTATTCAGGGTATCCGTTTCGTAATAGCGGTGTTTTAAAGTTATTTTGTGCTGTTTGAATGACATTCGGTGTGGAGCAGTTTCGATTTATTTTCTTTAATTCTACTATTATGGTTCCCCTTTTGACTCGTTCTGGGTGGTGTGATTTGTAATGGAGAAATATCGGTTTCTTGCATTTTTTTTGTTATGCATGGTGCTCCGTATTTGTCTGTATTGGATTTTTAGGGTTACGCCTAAGAATGTTAAGTATCCTTCTATGTGGGGTAGTTTTAGTGTGAACTTGACTGATTGGTGGAAGTTGTTTAGGAAGTAGTAAAAGTGGCTTGCTGTAGTGTTTCTTTTCCATGATTCCATATACCAAATATGTCATCGATGTATGTGTACCACACATCTGGTATTAAACATGTTTTTTGTTTATATGTGTCAAGGGCTTGGGTTTCTGAGGTATGCATGAATATTATAGCAAATGTGAATGCTGCTCTGTTGCCCATTGCTACTCCTTTTTCTTGTTTGTTAAAAGTGTCACCAAATTTAAAATAACTGTTATGTAGGAAAAAATCGAGCATTGTGCTGATGGTGCCTAATGTGATGTTCACTGGAAAAGTATGTTGATCAATTGAAGATGTGACGTTAATGATACTGTTGCGTCAGCGAGTCACATGACTACAGTGACGACACGTTTCTAGAACTATCCCGTATCTTGGCTAATGCTCTAGTAATTACTAGATGGAGGGTAGAGTGGTATATAAAAGAGGGGAAGGTAATGTGTGGGTAGACAGTGAGTAATTGAACTGCAGTCAGAAGTATTGTTGACGTTCGTTGATTAGCGTTTGTTTTAGCGCGATTGTTGAAGTTAAGTGTATCGGTAAAGTTATATTCGGAAAGAATAAACCAGTTTTATTAAGAAAGAACTTGTGTCGCTTAAGTTTCGTCTGAACGAAGTTACGGAAAATCAATTAACAAACGGGGACGTAACAATACTATCTATGCCTTCTTCTATGGGTATGGATGGGTACAAGGCGATTACGTTTGAGGAAAATAAAATGTAGTCAGTGCATATTGTTTGTGTAGAAAAGTGTATATTTTCTAATAGGTCTTTAGTATTGGTTAAGTGTTATGGAACATACTTTAGACATGGTTTAAACAGCTGATCAAGTAATCAGGATGTGGTTTCTGTTGCGGAGTCATACGCTGACATTATGGTTCTTAAAGGTAAATTTTGTTTATGGTCTTTAGGGACTCCATATAATTCAGGTATACGGCTATTGGAGGGTTTTACTTCTGTTAGTAATTTCTCTGATAAAGCACTTTTTCTTTAAGGTGTTTCAGTATCTTTTTGGCTTCTTTTTCGACCGTTTTGGTTGTAGTATAAGTAGCAGTTAATCATTTCAACAGTACTTTTCTTTAAACAATAAGCTTTACTACTTAAAATGTCAAAAGCACGCTGCACAAATGCATGTTATAGATTCGATTAGATTTTATTATTTAAACAATTTGAAGCTTTGTACTGTCAGTTTCGGTTTAATGAACGCTCCTAAAGAAGCTGTAAAATGAAACGTTGAGTGTCTAATTAAATAAAATCAGCATTTTGGTGTAATAAGATCGTTTATTTCTAGTATTAATATGTCTTCTATACACCAATATGCACTACAGAAATTAAATAATTTATACCTTTTGCTTACTTTTTTAAGTGATTCAATTTGGATCTGTTGATTATTTGTTTATGAATATGATGTTTCAGAACTCCTTTACATATATAATTTGAAGTCAAGGTGTCAATAAATTTTTGTCTGTAAATAATTTCTACATACACTTTAGGTTTTTTTTTGGCATAATTCATATGTTTCAACTCATTAAAAAATATATATTTTAATGGCTTTTGAGAATATAACACACATCAAAGATCATTGTTTTTCTTTCGAGCGTCGAATATGGATCGAATCGGATGTGTCATTATTCTTTATGGACCAATCAAACGCAAGGTATACTCACGTGATCGTGACGTAAAATTGAGACAAGCAGAGAAACGCACGATCTCTCTTCGGAAGAAATGTATTTTATGGTTGCAGTATGTCAACGATAAACTGCTAGATATCGATCAAAACACAGTATGTTTGAATTCTGTGTTACTTTGTTAAAGATATGTAACTCAACACAAGCCCTGTATTAAACCAGTTGAACGTACGAGATTTTATTATTATTATTTAGTGCGACAAGGAAGTCTACAACAGCAAGCTGCAAGTAGCTGTTTAATATATACGTCAAGCCATGCTTGAAAGTTGAAGCTGACGGTGCTGTTGTGTAAAAGGAATGATAGATTGCAGAGTTTTGGATCCGATTGACGGTGATTATGGATAATACTAATAGTGTTTAAAATTATTTAAGACACTGGGTTTAGTGCATACGCAGTTTGTGGATTCACGACATCCTAAGTTCAAGAAAAGTTTTGTAATATTTAGGCCACAAGTATATTTATGATTTAAACTTAAAGCTCGAAATTTCAGAAAGATTTGTTCAAGTTATTGAATTGGGCTGTATTTATACTACGACTTTAATATTTTTAATATTCATCCAGTTCTTCTCTTCATACAGAGAACTGAAAAAAGAAGAAAACTATTACGAGATAATTAGCTTTAGGTGAAATTTAAAGATGGCTTTTTACACTTGAAAGAAAATTACTATTTGTACTATTAGTATTACTAGACAGCTACATCAAATCACCATGGAAACAACTGTGGAAAAGGATTGCAGCGCTCTCGGCGGACTTTTTCAGTTGATTATAACTGATTTAAAGGTATGAGTTGTTCGTGCGTTTTTACACTATTATATTAATTATGCTTATCTAATTTGAATAATTGATTCATAATAGAAAAGGATTAGTCACAGATAATTCTCGTAATATCGCTTAAGTTTAAAGTAGTCGTTATTAACCTGTTTTCTATATCTAAATGAATACATTGTAGTGTTGTAGTTGTAGAGTGATGTGCTTTCAATTTCATATCGAACCCTAGTTTTTCACTGTTTCACCTCGGAGATTGTTTGGATAATCATTTAACTCTGAATATAGAAAAAGAAAGTAACAATCACTATTTCATGTAATGTAATCGGTCAACTGAATAATATTAAGAAAAAAATTAATTATACGTTCTGTGCAGTGTAATAAAAATTAATGTATTATTGAAATAGTTTGTAATTGTCTCAAAATAAATGGTTATGACAATTAAATACTTAGGTGTTACTGTTATAATAAACAATATTATTAATAGTCTTAAATGGTATGAGCATGTTGATTGATTACCATTCTATAAAAAAAGTAAATAATGAAATTAAATATAAAAGTGAATTTGTTAAATGTTACCTACTGATTCTGCTGAGAATTGTTTATGATAGTTTATAATAATTTAATGGTAGTATAACAGGATGTTGTAATTTTCTTTTTATTGTTATGAGTGTTTATTTCTTGAATAACTGTGATTATGTCACACTCAAGTACTCTTATATGGGCAATTATATATCAGAATTTTTTGTTTTCTGTGAGGGAAGTGACTCACATAATTAAATAATAAAATAAAATTCACAAGTTTATTAAAGCAGTTCTAAGTACTCTAAACTTGCAATGTATTTTCCAAATCCACTTTCATTGAACATACAGAAGCTCTTGAACTATGTATCTCACATTGTTTAAACTTGCAATTGACACAAAAGTTCTAAAATCCTTTGTCTGCAGTCACTCTAATCTCAGTAATCAGCTGTTTGTTAAATTTATGTGCCTTATAATTACTAAAGGCTTTAAAATTTTTGTAATGGTGCATATTGTTGGCTTTTGTTGGACATTTTTATTATTTTTTATCATTAGGTAAAAAAAAAGAACACCCAGTCTACTTAAATTAAAAGCATGTTATTTATCTAACTACATCTTATAAATTCAGCAATACATAACTTGTGTAAGGTCTATATAGCTAAAAGTAGGCTTAACTTTTCCAATATATAATGCATGAGTAGCATTTACTGTGATTTCTGGTTTGTTGCTAAACTTAGATGAGATGTTTGCGTGGTAGACATTTTGAATTTCAAATAAACGTTTATGCATTTGCAGAGTTATTATAGTAATGACTATCAAGTATTGTTATAAGTTTGGGATTGCCTGATTATATGACCTTTAATAGATATTATGGTTACCACAAAGCACTGCTGTTATGGAATATGTTGCAGTGACTTAAGGTATTACAATACAACACATAGATGGGTGTTTTTATACCTTTCTTGAAAGACAGTACCAGCCACAGCCACACTCTATCCTAGGTGATTACAAGGTATGGGGAAACTTCTATTTCAATAATTGAACAGCACTCCTATTGCAATCACAGTATTAACATCATCTTATTGAATAATACCAGGCCAGACTTTAGATAATGTTATGTTCATGCACATAGTATATAAAATCTGTTGTAGTTTTTTGTAGTTTCAACATTTTACTAACTTACCTACAAATATGTGTCTCATAAAGCAGCATAATATAGTTATATTTAATTTTAGTTGTAACAAGCATAACATCATTCCATCAAAATTAGTAAAGTGCAGTGTGGTTGAGCTTTACCAATAATTATCTGTATTCCATCTGTTGATAGTATCATTAAAAAGTGTGGTTGAGCTTTACCAATAATTATCTGTACTCCATCTGTTGATAGTATCATTAAAAAGTTAACTCTAAGCTTAAGTTTCTGTTGAGACAAGCACATTTCCTAAACCAAAAGATCTTGTACAGTTCTTTGCTCAACTCTAATACAATATGGAATGTGTTGTCATCAGCAGTAAAGGAGATGGTGCTTTCAGGAGTTTAAGGAGGAAATCATGATTTGCAAAAAAATAAAGACTGATTTCAACTTTCACTTTTTTTATGGATGGCAAAGTCAACGTTAAAGTTGAAGGATCAAATGGCCCATTTTCCATATGTCATGTTCATAAACTGTCACTTATTTCTTGAAATGTTATGATGTTGTCAATGTTTGTGAATATGTATATTAAATTAACTGTAAACTATTTACACTATAAAGTATATGTAACTTATTCCATGGTAAACAGAATGGATTACCATTTCAGTGATAATGTATGATTCTCTAAGGTTCTCTTTGTTGTATAAAGATTTCTCATGTTTTATAATGACACCATCATCAGCATGTGGCTTCTGTGTCTGATATTCCAGTGCATACATTGACCTACTTTATTTACCAATAACTCCTTTCTGCTTGATTTTTACATCTACTGCATTCTAACCATCACTTCAACTATTTCAGACTATGATGTTTGAAGGTTGAATGTAGATGAAACAGCTACATAATTTTCTTGTAGGTTGAAAAGTTCACTGTATCAGTCATTTTATTTTCCCATAGAGTTTGCCTGAACATCTGGTCACTTTGCCTGTGAATACATATGTCTTTCATGATAAGTAATATCATAGGATTCCACCTATTTGCTAACTTTCTCATACGTAAAGTACTTTTGGTATCTGCACTGTACCTTGTTTAAAACACAAACTTGGAATTTACTGTGCTGAACTGTCTGATTCAGTAATATATATAATCTCCTCAACCTCTTCTTCCAAACTCATATTTATATACCTTCAACTCATTTCCTAAAATTTAAATAAAATTTCTGACACTAAGCCATGCTCTCATTATGTGACATCAACACAGTCTTATGGCATACTATCAGAACCACAGAGCATTAATCCAATATGTAGCCAAACAAGCCATTCATATATAGATATTTAACAATCATGATGCAAGTCAAAATTCCAACTGTACATTAAGGAATGCATTATGGCTATAAAGACTGGTAGTCAGAAGTGTCATAATCTATTGACTGAACATGTTCTACTACACATTGAATTGGGTCAATACATTATGGCATGTTGACAGGGAATATATAGGGCCATAATGCATTGATCCAATGTATTATTGAACTTCATAACATGTTGAATCAACGCATATTTAATTGTTGGTTACCATTGCCAATAACATTACTATAATGCATTGTTGAAATTTTGATTACTTCAACATTTTATGACCTCATTGGCTTGCCATGCTCCTTCTGGTGAAATAAAAATGCAAATTTTTCAATAAAAAACATAGCCTGAAACACTGTTATTTCCCCTGGATTGTGAAGTCCTTTGAATAATCCTATTACACAAAGAGAAAAATGATACATTGAACTTGTATTTCCATGATTAACAATAAAGTAATTTAACAATCAACAACATTAATATTTAAGTATGAATGATCAGCATTGTATAATTTTTAAATCAAATAAGTGATTAAAATATAATATTTTACATTTACACAAAATACATTTATTGCATCCATCAATGGCCTCCACTTAAAAACACTATATGTTTCAACATTATCTTCAGAAGTAACTTATAAAACTAAGTTTTCAGTATTTATACACTTGTTAAAAGTCATATGATATTAGGTTCTGTTGTTTTTACAACTTACTGGCCAACCTTTACAGTAGGTCATACCAATACAATGAATAGTTGTACTATCATCTCTGTTTAATGCTACTTTTTTAAGTTTTACTATTTTCATTGATTCTTGGATATTTATAAAGTCATGTTGTGAGGTTGAACTACAGTTATAGCTTTATCCCATAAAATTGTGTTATCTTATTTGTTCATGTTTTGCTACAGCAGACTTATCAGTTTTATTATTTCTTATGTAACCTGTGTTTTCCTGTAATATGTATTTTAAAGTTCCTTTTAGTTTGACTAATATAAATACTGCCACATTCTATTTTATAAATCCCAGTTTTACCTTCTAACTCTATTTTGTCATTGGTATTCCACAACATTTGTTTAATTTTATTCATAGTGTTACGTCTCTGTATGTTTGTTTGTTAATTCTTCTAACATGCAAGTCCTTTCTTTATAAATTCTTCCTCAATACAACTTTGTAATGTACTTAATTTTCACAGTTACACACACTATAGTTCACAACAATTCACTCACTTTCTATCACGCTTAGACTTAATTGTCCGTCCCCGCAAACTATAGTTCTGATCTCTGTGTCTGCTATACTCAGTTCCCGCCGACCGTAATCGCTGTCTTTCTTTCTCTCTGCCTGCTTCGTCTCCACTATGTCTCTGTCTCCACTACTGCTTCGACTCCGTCTGTCTCTCTCACTGTGTAGCGCACTTATATACGATAATACTGCCTGTTCTAGAAACTTCTAAGAGTCTCAACACGTGCTACCAGTGTCACTTGACTTCCGCTGTCGTCACGTGACCCCCGCTGTCGTAACACACTAGCGAATCTTTTAGAATACTCATCACGCGACCCCACTGTCGTAACAATAGGTTTGAAAATAAGATAATATTTCTGTTGTTTCTGAAAGATGTTAAATAAATGATTTGTTAATCCTGGATGTAAGGCAGATTTAAAGCTCCTTTTTTATTTATTTCATAAACAGATAAATTACCATTTGTGTATATATATATATATTTGAAAACATCTAGGAAAAGTAACATATTATTTTCTTCAGTTTCATATGTAAATCCAGTTGATGGTTTTATGCAATTTAAGTAACTAGCAAATTCATTTAACAAACATACTGTTGCTATGCCATCATACAAAGAATGTGTCACCTACATACCTAATCTGAATCTCTGGTTTAAACTGTGAATTCCACGATGCTTCCGTTTCAAATACATCCATGTAAAGATCACATAAGAAAAGTGACAGAGGGCCAATAAGTAATCCGTCATTTTGTTTGTAATACCTTTGGTTAACTTGAAAAA